ATTGGGAAATTGCCATGATCGGTGCACAAAAATCGAACGCATGCAAAATTGAGATGCCGATGACGATGCCAAATCGCTGCGAGATCCAAAAACCAGTAGCAGTACAAGAAGCCGCACTATCATTCGATCGGTCCCGGTTCAACTGCAGTCCAATCCAGTCCATATTCCATTCTCATTCCCATTCGACCACGTCTGCCCGCAATTTTCAGCGTTTACCTGCGTTGGGCCGACAAATCGATTTCTGCACTGGCGCCACAAAGCCATTTACAATAATTTAAAGCAAACTGAAAGTTGCCCACAAAAGCCGCACTAATCAACTCTGCCCTGAGCGAAAAGCCCACAATACTCGTACCGCATCGCCTGGCCCCGAGTTCGCGATGTCCAACACCCCCGCTTAGTTGAGAGCGTAGCCAAGGGGCGAAAGCGATTGCAAATATTGCTTTAACCTCCTTGTCCCCAAAACTACATACTACAAAAGTATGTATCTGATAAAAAGTTAATAAAAATGCCCTTTGCTTATACTACTACATAGTGGGAATATTCGAGACAGTTGTGGAGAGGCTTATTAGCGATCTCTAATGAAGGTATAGGTGGATTCTTGTTCCCCCACTGCTAGCCAAAATATCTGAAAATATAATTAGTTCTTTATAATATTAACATGAAGTGTAGTAGAAGACACGGTAAATATAAGCAAGAAAATAGACAATGGATGCCTGATAGTTATAGAGAGACCAGATGTCTTTATAATAATTATTTCATTTTTCATCGACAAATTATTTGATTTGTGTATTGTATCTGTCCTTTGCCATTCAGTCCACTGATATACTTTGATAATGGCTTATCCAAGAATAAAAGCGCCTATTTAGCTTGGCTCTACTTAAGTTCACATTATTAGCCTTCAATGGCGAAACTTTTCAGTAGACATAGAAGCCCGCTTCAGCCGAGAGAACTCCAAGAACAGAGAGGGAACTCCTTAATAACTCCTGTCCTGCTGGGGTTGACGCCAGACTCAAGACTTGAATTAAGCACCAATAATTTGCAATAGCATAATTTAAAATTCGACCCTCAAATAAGGGAAAATATGGTTCAATCTTTTATGTATGATTGGGTTTAAAGACGACTGGGTCTATTTATCCCATCTAGCTGGAAAGGAGCTGTTGGAAAACAAGAAAAAATATAAAAATAAATAGTTAGACTATAAAGGTGCTTTAAATTATTTGCTTTCAGAAAAGCCAATTATTATGCCAACACAGTCTGATATCCCCTCTCCTGCTTTTTATCGTCGCATATACATATATACTATATACATAGCTTCAGTGCCAACCTGCTCGAATGCTGTTAATAAACAAAAGAGCAGAATTTGAGCTGCAGAAAAGAATAAAAAACACACACACAGAGTGGTGTGTTTGTATTCCCAACACACAAAATCACAGATTACCAAATCAATATTGATTTAACCTCGTCCTGCATCCCCAGAGCCAAAGGACAAAAGCTGGGACAGAGCCATAAATTTGGTAGCTATTGTGGGCCTTCACAAAAATTTGCTATGCGGCGTTTTCCACATCACAATAAAATTATATATACCTCTCATGTATACTTGTATATGCATATATGTGTGTGTGTGTGTGTTTTTTTTTTGCGTCATCTAATTCGGATAATAGGCTAAACATTTAAGCGAGCACAAATTTTATGGACAACGGATGTGAAAATATATGCGAAACGTTCGCATCTAGTCTTCCTGTGTTGGAATAATGTCAGGGTTGCCAACGTCGCCGCTTTTGTGCGCAACAAATTGCGTGTGTAATGAAAGCCAAGTCGTCTCCCACACCCTTCCGCCCCCTCACACTACAAGCCGAGGCCACGTCCATTGGTCCATTGGTCCATTGGCCATCTGCATGCTGTGGCGCGTGTCCTGTGACAAATTAGCCTCACAAAGAAGCGCATAAAAAAGCGACCAACAAAAGTTGTCAATTAGCAGGAAGATGTGAAGACGACGCCGAACGCATTGCAGCAGCTTCCGGTGTGAAAGCATTTTGTCAGACGAGCACACAAAAAGACCCTGTGCCGTTCCCCATTCCCCATTCCCCATCTCCCCCTCCATGTGGGGAGGGGGGTGGACACACAATAGGCGGCATAAGGCAGCTAAACGTGCAACATTTCAGCATCTTCCTTCACTTCACATCCCGTCTGCTTGCATTCAACTAAGATATATGTATGTATTTGCGAAAAAATGAACGCATTCAGTTTATTACCTTAAACTGTATCTTGCAGAAGATTTTCAATTCAATATTTTCACCCCCCGGCCATGAATCTAGCTTTGGGTGCTCAATGGACTGTGGGACTGCGGGGGGGAAAGCATAAAAGGAAGTGTGCATAACTTTATGCAAATCTGTGCTACTTAGGCATGGTTCACAATTTTGTTATCCCTTTTATTATACTAATCATTAGTGTTTAATGCGCTGCAACTCGTTGGATCTATTCTCCCTCAGAGCTAAGCTGTCTGCTCCAGAAAGCAAAGCAACATTGAAGGGGACAGTCAAATTATTATCCAAAGAATTTCCTTAAAAGTTATTTCCGCTGCTTTCTTCAGCTTCCGTTCAGACTGTGGAGCTAATTTTTGATCTTTTGAAAGAGCGCCTTCTTCTTCATATTTGCTTTTTTCAGTACATTTCTTTAGCTTTGAATGTTATTTTCTTGCTTCAGGATAGTGACTGATATACTGCAATCTTCTTATATTTCTGATATAGAATATAAAGATTTGGAATGGTTACTAAAGCAAAGTATAAAAGCAACAATATATTCTTTATGCAACATTGCTCTATAAAAGAGTTAAACCAGATATTAGACTACAAAATATGAATCTCTAAGAAACTAAAATCTGCCGAATCTTGAGTTCATTCTTTATTTTTCACTTAAAGACTACATTTCGGCGCTTTCGATCGGTTGTTATTTAAATGTTTTCCAACTGGAATGTCTTTTGACTGCGTTGAGCAACCGCATCCCTCGAGATTATGTAGCGTAGTGCAAATCGAAGTCGATAGCAGTTCGATATGCGCTTTTCTACACACACACACACTTTGGATCAAGGACGCGGCCAACTTTCCCACGTCTGCGGGCCACTCATAAATTTATAAGTGCGCGCGACGACGCACTCATAAAAATTCAAATTCAATGCGAAAAGAATAACCGCAACAAATAATCAATTTGTTACAGAGGCGTTATTCAGAGCCCCGCATACGCACAAAATTCGAACCGAAGAACCAAAGAACGAATCAACGAACCCTCCCAACACTTGACGGTCGCAACGAAGTCGCCGCCGACGTTGCCACTCAACCGCGCGTCCTAGTCGAGAAGTCAAAGTCAACGCGGCTACCGGCTAAGGATTGAGCGTCAAGGATTCCGGATCGAGGGCTGAGGACTGGAGGTCTACCCTGTCGATGAGAGGCAGTGCGAATTGCATTCGCTTAGGCACAACCCCATAAATTAAAATACATTAGCATTGCCACAGCGCCTAGTGGCAGGCAATGCAAAATGAAATTGTCACGAGCAGGAAGCGAAGAGTGAGAGAAAGAGAGACAGGGAGAAAAGCGAGAGAAGAAGTGCAAATAGTATCGAAAATAGCTGGCAAAACAAACAGCGCCAGAGCCGAGACGAACCAAAGGGGTTGCTCTGCCTTTGCCTGCCGCCAGTCAATTAGAAACGTTTCGGGCCACTCGTCGCACATCCTTAACGCTCTGGAGTGGCTTGTGGCACACACACACACTCACACACACACACACACACACACACACAATGCGACCTGGTAACAATTTCTAAGTGAGCAGTTTAAAGGGCAGTAGCAGTAGCTGTAGCAGTAGCAGTAGCAGGAGGAACAGCAGCCTGGGAAGCCCTCAAGGCAAAATGCAACAGTTTTTCGAGTGGCCACCAAGTGGATCGAGTGGCCGCTTGAACGGCACGCAAGGAGTTGTGCGCCAAGTGGCAGATAAATTTCAGAGTTCAGTTGAGCAGTTCCTTGACTGTGTTCGTTCGGTCGACTGCCTAGCAAAAGGGCAACCTTGTGTCAACTCGCATTAAAATCAACATTCAGTTCATTTTTCACTCTTTCGGCCTGAGAAAAATGCCAAACAAAAAGTACACGCAGTTCTCCATCTTTTTTTCTCATTTTCATTTATTTTTCAGTTTCTTTTTATTACACAAAACTTGCCTTATCGAGTGGCCGAGCAACGCGCACACAATAGACGACTTAAGACTAGGCACAAAAATACAAAAAAAAAATTATGTTACGTGGGCTTTGAAAAAAAATTGTATCATGCGACTGCGCTTATATACAAAACATTTACAAATTTACAAACTTTAACTCTAGGTTTTAAATATGCAAAAAAAAAATTGATACAGTACACGCTCCATATAGGCAGTCTGTCGAAATTTCTTCGACTTTAATTCGACACTAACTATGGAAAGAGCTAAGATTTTGTAATGTGAATTTTAAGCTCTGTTCCAGATTTAAGCCGTTCGAATACTCAGTTTGCCAGCAGTGTTATATCTTTGGCTATAGATTGGCAAATTTGATTGCGCATCGCTGGTTCGAACACCGCCGACGGAAAAAACAACAAGTTGAATCAATTTTAAAAAGTTATTTAAATTTGAATTGCGAATCAGGCCTAAATCTGCCAAGGTTAAAATTCCTATTTAATGTAGTAAATAATATCCTGGGATCTTTCAGGACTAGGCCCCCATTAAAAGACGAAGTCGTCCCTTGTTTGTCTGTTTGTAGCTTTGGATAGGACCTTCCCAAATAGTTACCTTTACATTGGACAGATATTGCTAATTTGTCTCACACTCAACTGCCTATATCGGGCGCATACTGTAGATATATGTATAGTACATGTATTTATATAGTATATATTTGTTTATGTAGAGAGTGAGAGAAAAAGTAACTGATGTGAGACACTTTACTGTCTGAGATCCAGCCCCAAGCCAGGCGCAATTTAGCGCGCTACTCACACATCCAACGCCAGCTCCTCGTCCTCATCGTCGTCCTCGTGGCTCAGAGGCTGCTGCTCGAGCGTTGGCGTTTTGCTGCCTGCAGCGACCAGCGGCGTCGTTGGTCTTCTTGCCTCCGCCAGCGTTTCATTCTCCTCCGAGGCGGCGACGGCGATAGCGCGTTCCGGCGGACTGCCCGGATTCAGTTGCGGACTAGGCGTCTGCAAGCGTTGTCTGCTGCTGCTGCTCCGCTCGTACTCGGCCTCACTGGCGCTTTGGCTGGTCGCTGGCGAGCGTTCGCGCTCCCGCTCCCGCTCTCGCTCTCGATCGCGTGTTGGCGTTGTTGTGGCCGCCGCCGCTGCCGCCGCATAGTAGCCGCTGAGCGAGCTGAGTGAGGAGCTGGCGCTGTGCAGGGCGCCCATCGGTGCGCCGGGCGGTGGCGGCGGCATGCCCGGCAGTCCCATGGGCGGCATGCTCGGGTACATGCGATATGAGGCGGGCATTGGTTTTTGTAGAGCGGCCGCAGCTGCCGCTTGACGATAATAGATGTCAATGGCCGAGGGCGGAGCGCCATGAGGCGTTTGGGCGGCAGCGGCGACGCTTGCGTACGGCCAGGCGCTAAGGTAGGGCGAGGCGCCGCCATAAAGACGTTGAAAGGCCGCATAATTGCCAGCCTCGGCGAGCAGTTCCAGGCCCACGGCGGTCTGGCGCTTCCATTTGGTTCTACAGAGATAATGGAGAGAAAGGGAAAGAGAAAGATGGAGGGAGTATGCGATTAGTCAGGCTGCCGCAACGAATGTTAAAAAATTCAAATAAATGGAAATAAAAACAGTGCCCTGGTCCTGCGCATTATTAATCATGTCAAGCACTTTCTCGGATTCCATACACTTCTCCTTTTTTGTTTTTGCTCGATTTTGCTGCATCATGCAACTGCAACAGACTAGCCGAGGAACCGAACAACCGACCAACCGACCAACCGCCCGCCCTCCCGCTGCTCTGTGTGCAACGATACTGCTGCCCTATTATTGCTGTTTATATTTCGCACTTAATTGTTTTGTCATTTATCTTCCCGGCCATGCCGCGCCCCCGACGCCAGCGCCTAATTGGCTTAGCAACGATGACGGAACCGATAGACCAACCGATGAGCAAACAACCGAACGAGGAAATAGTCCAAGTCCCTGCGACCGCCCGCCTGCTCGAGTTTAGCAAATCCTTTAATTGCGCCAACACCAACGACGTCTAGGCGCCGCCGTTTCACTGCCACAGAGCCGGAGAAATAGACGAAGAGATAGAGAGAGAAAGAGAGAGAGAGAGAGAGCACATTGCTTGTTTTCTTTTCGCGCACTCATCCAACTCGTGAGCAGCTGTGAAACTCTTTAAAATGTTTAACGGCTCTCACGGCGCGCAATATCCGGTTGCCCGAAAAAATAAAATAAAATTGATCTTGCGGCCCAGGCACAGGCAAAATGCTACGTTGTTGTTGTTGTCGTTGTTGTTGTTGTTGTTGTTATTCCTGCTGCTGTTGCCGTCGAATTGTGACAAGTCATTGAGCAATAATTAAAAACGAAAATAAAATGCTATTAAACGTAATAAGCTGCGGCTTTTGTTGCTATTTTTAAACAGCAGCGACGCGTCGCAGCAAACACAATATTAGAAAATCGTAATTGTATATATACTCTCTCACACATACACACACTCATATCTATCGGAATACAGTACAATTTGCTTAATAGTGGATGTGGGAACTTGAAATATCCCTAGACTATATATTTTCAAAAATTGTATAATACCAGTAAACTGCAGTTGCTTCGACATCACAGACTGATTGTGGATCTTCAATGAACCATCAATTGAGAAAAGCTAAAAAAAAAACATATTTCATTCCATATCCATATTCAAAAGTAAGTCCCCTAGAACTTCCATGCATACTTGTAGATTATCTCTATATTTCTGGAACTGTAATTTTCATGAAACATTCGCATTTCTATTATTTGATCGTTAAAAAAAATGATAATATAGAGGAAACGATCACTTTGAAATTGGCCGCGGTTTCTTTAAATAGTTTCCACTGTACTCGTATAACGAAAGACTTAAGCAACAAACTTGCGCACGCATGCAATCAAAGCGCGTTGAGCGCCGTCGAGTGGCGCAAAATAAAAAAATAAACAACTCATTTAATAAACAGCGCGACAGTAATGACAACAAATATAACTACAACAGCAACAGCAACAACAAGAGTGTTTCAACTATTTTACGACTGTTTCGCAAAATGCAGCAAATTAAGCAATCAGCATAAAAACAAAATGCATAAACCGTCAACGACTCACTTGACGGCTGCGAATCCTCAAATCTGGAATCGTGACTCGCAGTCGGCAAAACATTAAAATCATTTTTATCGAAAGTGCGCAAAGAAATGGGCGTTGGACCATAAAACGCGCTGATTAGCGCGGCAAAACCAAAACAAAGATTCCATTGCCATTGCCATTGCCAAAGAGGCCGGCCCCTCGACTCACCTACGATTCTGGTACCAGGTCTTCACCTGGCAATCGCTCAGCTCCAGCTTATTGGCCAGCTCCATGCGGTCCTGCACGCTCAGATATTTCTGTCGCTCGAAGGACTTCTCCAGCGTCTGTAGCTGATGATCTGTGAAGGCTGTCCGCGCTTTCCGCTGCTTCTTGCTCAGACTGAGACTCAGATGTGAGTCACCATTGGCGCCCGAGCCGCTGCCATTCTTCAGACTATCATCGCCGTCATCGTCTTTGGCACCTATAGAGGAAACGAAATAATTGGAAGAATGACAGGAATATAGTTTTTTGTTTTCTACAAGTACCATAAAAATCTTTATCTCTTTATGTATAAAAACAACTGTTCATAACACTGAATATTTCTTGAAGTACTTTCCAATCACGTGATTATTCTGATTTCTTTCCAAATTCGTTCTAAAACTTATTCCTTACTTTTATAAATATGTTCCTTTTGGCATCAGAACTCAATACTTGACGTTCCGACTTGTCTTTTTTATACGCTATATATACCCAAATTGTTTTATAAACCGATCGATATATGCCATCGAAACCTATCTGTTAGTACTATTACTTATATTGTCATTGAAGAGTCTTTTTTGATTCCCTTTAACAACATAAGTATGTACCTTAATCAAAGGTAAGATAAAATTGCATTTTAAATTCATTTAATGCTGGATAATTTTTAAACTACAAGTAAGAATATATGTTCTTATAATGATTTTAAAGTGCCTTTGTTTCTTGGTTTTGTTCTTATTTATTGCATTCACATGTAGGCCTAGTCTATCCGCCTATTTATTATTAACTTCTACCCCTACTCGATCTCCGCCTTCCGCTTTGTCCCTCATCATCATTGCTTTTATGGCAGCTGTTTGAACTGGCTGCGGGTCTCTGAGCATTTTGCCACTCATATTTTTACAATTTTCTGCAACATTTACGCGCTTTTTAGTTTTATGGTATGCCAACATGCAACAAGACCGGCAGCTACAGCAGCAGCTACAGCAGCAGCAGCAGCAACAACAACAACAATAATAACTGCTACCACTTGCTCCGAAACTAACATCAACAGCACCATTGACGAGGCAGCAGTTAAATGCGCAACTTTGTAGCGGGGCGCTCAACAATGCGACCGAATCGCTCCACACCGATCCGACATGCCATTGCTAATTTGCAATTAAACAGTTTATGAGCACAAATTACAACAACAGCAACAACACCAATAACAACTGCACAACAGCCAGCACCACAATCTTAATACTCTCAGTGCTTTATAAGCCATTCAATTGGAGAAACGTTTGCATAATATTTGCATTTCGAAGGCGAGAAACAGAATAAAGAATGCGAATATCTGATATTGCCAAAGTGTTCATGAAATGGAAAGATATACAAGTAGTGAAAGGTATTCAGTCAACTCACATGCATATATCAACTATATAATATTCCCACAAACATGCTTAGGAGAGTCTGTGTAATGTTCACAAGAGTGCAGATAGTTCTCTTTTTATTTAAATTCTAGACTAGTAAGCAATGTTTGGACCGAGTTCTATCAACTTTGTTAAAGTAGATTTTTATTAAATATTCAGTTAAATTTCAGTTCAATAAAAATATATTTTGGTTGCTCAACAAATTAAAGCACTTTGTGCCAATTGTTGAATGGAATTATGAAGGCCGTTTAATAATTTGGAACAAAATTGTTCATTTGTTTTGTTATAAACTGTTCTTGACTAGGATAGGAAGGTGTTGTTCGTCAATAGGGCTTCCCAAATTAGGGGTGTTGCTTATATTTGTTTTTTTTTTTTTTTTTTTTTTTTTTTTTTTTTTTTTGTTGATAGGAGTTGTTGCTTATTATTTGTTCAAATGTCATATTTTTTCTTGGCGCAACTAAATGTCCACTGAATAGCCAATGCCAATTCAAAAACTAAAAACTGCATGCACACTATATATATATACATATATATAAATATATACATAATTTTAAAAAGGCTCTCAAGTGTGCCATAAACAGCAGAATGGAAAAGCTTAACTGATTGCTCACTTTGTACATCGTCTGTTGAATATTATATTGATTGCGCTCTGATTCTAACAATGAAAGAAAATTGTTCCTCTATTTTATAGGATTATAATACTTGTATATTTTGTGCTCATAGCTAGCGATTTTTTCGAGTACTCTCTCCTCAATCAATGCCTAAAGCAAGCCACTGTGCCGTGTCATTTCCCTCTGCAGTCATTGCTAACTGTTCACACACACACACACACACACACACACACAAAGCAAGCCACACAAGCACACATACTTGTGTTTATAAAGTTATTTACACTTTGCCAAGCAGACAGCAACAGCCAAGTGGCCAAAAGCAAGCGCTCACAAAACATTTCCGCAAAAATGCGCGCAACGTCTGCCATAGGTGTTCTTTTTGTTGTTGTTGTTGGTGTTGGTGTTGTTGCTGCCTCCGCCATCGCAGGCGACGTCGTAGCGCGCATTTGTAATTAAGTGCTCGTGGCTAAATTGTATTAAACATGCTTAAGTGTGCAACCGCAGCCCAGAAACATACAGACACACTTGCACATATACAAGAATGTATATGCATGCATATAGACATAGACTAAAAGCAGCGGCAAAGAAACAGAGAAACAACAACAACAACAGCACCGATATATGCGAATGCAACTACAACTTTCTGTTAACTTCCTAGCCCAGCTGCCATCTGCATTTAATTGCGAGCATAACAACAGCAACAGCAACAGCACCATGAACAACAATTGGCCTTTTTGCATTTTAATTAAACCGACACTCACACTCACCCACAAGAGTATACCTACATACACATACACTAGATTGTCTGTATGGAGCTGGCTGCCTGACTGCCTGCCTGACTGCCTGCCTGCCTGTCTAGCTTGCCTGTTTTGTTGTTAAACGTTTATCAACATTTTGATAATGTTTGCGTTTAGTGTGCGCTCAGCAACACCCGCGATCCCATCGAGCAGCGAAGCGACGCGACGCGACTCAACGCGACTCAACGCGACGCTGACTGCGACTGCGGCTGAGACTACTGGTTGCATAACGGTATCGCGTTTTAGTGCTGCCTGCCTGCCTAACTACCTGTCTGCATTATAATTTATAATTATTGTGCTATGATTTTTGCGCTGCTTCCTTTCCTTTCCTTTCCTTCTCTGCACGAACAAACGAAAGACTTAGGCAACAAACTTGCGCCGCAAACTTCCGCACTCAACTTTGGGGAAGTGCACGTAGATTACATGCATACACACACATGTGCACGTCTGTATTGGTGCATTTGCAACAACCACATGTTGCAGCTGTTATTGTTGTTGTTGCTATTATTATTATTATTGGTGTTGGTGTTGGTTTTATCGCCCACTATCAACAACAATGGACAGCAAATTCCAAAAGCAACGTTGGTGCCACATGAAGCATACATACGAGTATATGCAATCATAATCATATTACATACAACAGCTCAAAAAAAAAAATAAAAGAAAATAGGAATAACAAAGCATAAGTATTTCTTTAAATAAACTATTACATACTTCTGTGCTTCACAAATATTTTTAAACGATCTACTTAGATACCCTCCACTGTGAATCCATGAATACCCTGCTGTTTCCGTACTTGCTCCTCTTTTATTAGAAAGCAGTTCTTAATTATTCTGTCTTCGAGGCCCTTGATCATAGTCGGTCTAGACACGTTATCTGTATCATATAGGTATATAACCAAACATGTCTACCCTTCTCCCTTCTGAGTTGCACAAAATAACGGCCCAAAAACAATATTACGATTGAACTTTTCAGTGAAGGGTATAACAAACATATACAAGTATTATAACAATTTAGATTTATATGCAAGGGATAAAAAGTCAAGTAAAACGGCATTTTTCTTCGAAAACTGCGCAGACAGGTCTGCCTTAAATGAATTCTTTTTAAATTGTAATAATTTGTTACTTATTATTGAGATGAAATCTCGCACGAGTAGTTGAATCTCTAGTACAGGCAATTCAAATTTTTTAAAATTAGAGTCCAAACAATTTTGAACAGAGCCGGTATGTCTTGGCTTGATTCTTTCTAATGGTAATTCTTAGTTTTCTCTAAAAGATTCATTGAATATTCTTTTAAGCGTTTCTGCCTGGCTTGCCAATAAATAATTTTAGGAATATATGAACAGCTTTGTTTCAAGCTTTGTTGCTTTATGGAATGCAAAACGAGCTGCGTGAAAAACAGCTTATTGCCATTTTGGTAATAAATTGTTTCTTTTTGAAAATCTAGTTTTGAATACTCGCTAAATGTATATATAGCATTAGTTATAATATCATATTGACATTAATTAACAGTTTGCATAACTTTCTCCACTTCAACTTTATTTTGATGATTTGATAGGCTTTCAAATTTTTAAGTGATTTGACTTTTGTTTTAAAAAGCCTCTAAGTATTTAGTTTTGGGAGACGGTTAATCATATATACATAAGTACTTATTTGTTATTTGCTCAATTGTGCGCTCGTGGAAGCTACAAAAAGTGAAAAGGCAAAGTGAATTCTTATTGGAACAAGCAGAAAGACAGATTTAGTTTCGAGATCTTGTTCTATTTGTACATATTCGTAAATTCTATAAATTGTTACAATGTGATCCGTCCCTTCTATTTTGCTCCACTATATGTATATATAGTGATTTGATTTGATTTTAAAATAGAAAAAAATCTATATAATATTGATTATCTTGTACGATTATTGCGTAGACTTTTCAACTCCAAATATTTTGTAAAAAACCTCCAAGTAGTTTCTTCAAGCGTTTCTTCAGAAATTGTCAGCGTGCGACCGAATCACAAAATCATAAACTTATATTTTTGACTTCTTTTTAAATTGCGCTCATATGGAAGCCACAAAAGCTACGCATTTTTCAAATTCCAGTCAAAAATATCAATTTCAATTAAAAAATTGTCAATTTTGCTCAGGTTTTAGTTACTGTTGTTGCTGTTTTTCTGTCTGCCATCAACTGCCTGTGCTTCTTGTTGTTGTTCTGGATTCTTGGCTCTTTTGATATTTCGTTTTTGGTACAAATGCGCACTCAGCCGGCAAGAAGTGTGATCCAAACGTCAATGCACATCAGTGTACAGTTCATTTGACAGGCAACAGCGACAACAACAACAACAACAGCAGCAACAACAACCAAAGCAACTCGACAAGGAGCGTTGAGCTCAATTTCAAACGCGCTACGCGCCTCATGTTAAAAAACAAAAACAAACAAGACTTTGCACGTCGCAAGTGGCTGAGCAATGAGAAGAGGCAAAAGCAACACGAGAAAATGAAGAAGAAGAAGAAGAAGGGGACGAGCAGGAGGAGTGAAGTGCAGCAATCCTTCTTGTGCCTTGTGTCCTGGCCAACTGTCGCTCGCACGCGTCTCAAGTGACACGCGAGTGTCGAACTATGGCCAAAAATGTTCAGTTATAGCTTCGAAATAAAAAGCATAAACTTGAAGAAAAAATTGAATATCGAGATCGACTTTTCAATTTTTTCATTTTTTCATTTTTTTTTTTGTTGTACTTGTTTTTGGCTTCGCAGTCGCTGTTGCGATTAAGCCGTTAAAAGCAACGTTTTGGTTTCGTTTCATAAACAAAAAACAAAAAAAGTAAAATAAATAAACGAAGAAAAAAACCGAAGCTTACAGAAAAATAATCTTTGGGTCGCGTCGCAGCGTGGGCTAAACTTGCCAGCCTGACTGACTGACTGCACACAATGACACCCAAAACATTTATGTCCACACAAACATACACTCTGCATGTGTGTGTGTGTGTGTGTGTGTGTGTGTGTGTGTGACTTGCCTTTGTTTGTAGCCAACACATTTAATTGTTGGCTTGTGTCTTAAATCACAACACCATTCCATCTGTCTGACCAAATCAAGTGTGTATACATATAAATGGGGTGTGCGTGTGTGCGTGTGTGTTTGTGTGCCTTCACAGCTGCCCCATTTCTCCTATTCATTTTATAGTTTAATTTGTTAATGTGTTTCTTTGGGGCTACCTGAGCATGAAATGGACAAACAACAAAAGTTAAATGAAAATCCAAACCATTCCCCTTTTCCTCTTCATTAAGAGCGTGCCTCAATTTCGGGCTTTATTAAAAAATTAAAATCAATAGATATGCTGTTCTATAATCTTATTAGTATTATCGTATTAGAGCCGGTCATGAGTGGCGTTTTCATATACGGTTCTATCCATTCAAAGCATACCTACTATATAGAATTCTATACATGTAGAATATGTATATAATACAATGTATATGACAATTATCCAGCTATGTTGGCAATAAATTGTCACCAATGGGATTATTGTTGTATTCTATCAGAGTTACGAATTATTATTTAAGGGAGCGCTAACAAAGTGCGCGAAAAGATGGCCGATATTCGATATAATATCATTGATATAGATCCGACTCAAATCTTCAATCTTCTCAATCATCAATTGTTAACTATCTTATTTAGTTCCAATATTTAAACAAATCAACACGTTTTCTATGGACTCTTAAATTGAAGACTCGTGGTAGCAATTCACTGACTTGGACAAGTTTTACATTTCTAAATATCGTTATTTACAATAATCATTCGCTCCACAAACTAAACCAGATTTTGAAATAAACATTTCCTATATAGTATACATATACGCAACCGTTCCATCAACTGGGAATGCGCAGACTCGGGTATCTATTGAATGATCTCACCCTATATGTCCTAGATAATAGCCCTCAGGAGGTACGGAAGGAATCCCCCCATTTACCCTTTTATAATTCCTACAATGTACGATTGCCAGACTCTGAAATTGAATAATTATGCGACTCAGAGGGGCTTTAAGTCATAACTATAATTACAAGTATTTAGAAATATTATTTCTTCGTTTTTTATTTCTTCAAAGATATTGACATCTATTCGAAAGTTAGAATAGAATATGTTATGAATTATATTCATAAATCTCTTATGAAAGTTGAATAAGTTACAGTGAGAGTAAGTGAGACAAAATACAAGAATACCAAACCTAATAAAAATAATGACTGCCTCAATCATATATACAAGTAAATCGTGCATGGCATCGCATCCATTTTCTCCCACACATTATTCCAATTTCCCTGTTCAGAAATGCATCGAAAGCATGGACCAATACGAATAATCAGTTGTTGCGCCATTAAATTGATAAACAGCACTAATTAGAGGCTATAGTTGATGCTGATGAGGTTGCAGACATAAAACACAATGTATGTGTGTGTTCTCTCCTCTTCCCTCGAAATCAATTTCGAACGCACGCTTATGACTATTTAATAGTAATTTGTCATAATTTGCATAACGTTTAAAAACACTTAACAAATAACAAATAATAAATAACAACAACAGCAAGCGCAAGAGCAACAACAGCAACAACATTAAATAAATTAATTTGTTGCATGCAAAAAGCAGTCGTCGAGAAGTCGGACGATCTATCGGACGGACGGTCGCTATAACTGACATTCGTGCCGGGCCAGGCCGGGCCTCAAGGGTAGTGGGTTGAGAGTGACGGGCGGGCTTATCGCTCGCTGCTATCTGACGAGGCTGTCACGAACACACACAACCATACACTACACATAGTATATAAGTACATATGTACATACATATATACTCACACATACTCGTATGTGCGTGTGTGTGTATACTCGCTGTTAAGTTTGATGGCTAATTTCACAGACACTGCCTGTTGACAATTTTGCACAAATTTGTTGCATGGCCATGTCACACACACAAACAAGCACTGCAAACACACACACACACACACACACACACACACACACACGCTCCCATGCTCGATAGGCGCATAAAATGTTGCACTTAAGCGACATCGCATTGCATTTATTAATAATGATAAATACTATAGCTTGGTCCGCAGAGTCAAGTCAGCGCCTCGACTGCTAAGCTACTAAGCACCTGCGACAACTTTTCTCACACACACACACACACACACACAAACACACACACACTCATATGCACAAGCACACACATATGCCCTGCAGTCTAGTGAACTAGTTAGCCTTAAGATGCTGAGTCATATTTAAGTGTATTTTTAACTCACTTTCTTTCGTTCAAAGTTGTATAACTAAAGCGTCATCTTCTTTTCAATTACACTTCCCATCAAACAGTAACTCCCATTCTCATCTGAATACCCTTAAGATGTTAGAATATTACCCTCACCTCCATCCGAAAAGAGTTCCCATATAGTTGCTTACTTCCATTCGATGATGCCTCTTATCCAACAGCATTGGACAAGATTTAAAACCAGTTACAGCCCTTTAAGACAAGAACTCTTTTTCCTTTAAAGTTAAATACTTTATAGTTTAAGCTACACTATATTGTTGAAGTCTATAGATCCCACTCTGCCCCTCACTTTCTGTTCAGCATTAGAAGAAAGCAAGCAAGTGGCATTCATTTCAAAATGCGCAACAGCCTTAACTCGTTTGAGTATTAGAAATCTGAAAGGTAGTGCATCTTTTTATTTCTTAATCGCGTATCCACTATAATATCAATAATTCATTGCTTCTACAATTGTCCACTCTTAACGAATAAAGTTTTAAAGTTAAATTCAATTACAACTTGTTCTATTCCTCAATTTAAATCATTTATAGTTTTCATAATCCCCACTGTCTGCGGATGTATTTTGAGCTGGTTCGCAAAAACAAAAACTAGTTCAGCTGCTAGTGTGAAAGTGGCAGTTGTCTTATCTCTTGGTATTTTGGCTTGGAGTTTTTTTTTTTTTTTTTTGTTGCTGCATTAAAGCGGCAGCGACGAATCTATTCAGTTTAAAGCTTTAAGTGCCAGCACTAACTGTTATGTTGATTATTTCAGATATATCCACACAGATCTTATCATTTGGGAGCAACTGCACCCAAAAGTGCCACAAAGTAACAAGTTTTCCAAGATAGGCTCGAATCGCATTAAGCCACAAATTATGCTTTTGATTTGAGCAACATTATGGAACTAAGTGGAATTCAATGCCTGGCTTATGTGCTCAAGTATTTTCTCTGGCAAAGAACAGCCTCACAATACCCAGCCTATGTTCTCCGTAGAGAACGGCAGACAACATACATAAGTAACGATAAGGAATCGCATAATTAACATGTGTAAATGCAAGAAAATCGAGTCACGAGAGCCTCACTATGCTGCAGGAAGAGGCTGAATTGCTAGTCCAGAGGCTTCGATTAAAAGTTAAACTCAGCCAACGCGTCGCTGATGAAATAGATGGACAGCATCCGAATTATGTGATCAGCTTGGCTGACTTTATTTACATTTTAATGAATTAATCCCGTTAATTGAAATAATTTAAGTGTGCAACGTGAATTATTAAATATTTAGTAACGAATTCATTTAATTACTCGATTGGCTTTACTGCTTTTTTAATTATACTTTCGATTTACGCCACATTCTAAACTGGTTAGACTTAACTAATTGGTTACCTGATTCAAAATTTCCCCCGTGCTGTTCTACTAAGCATATTTTTTATCACTCGATGCTGTGTTTAATTGAATTTTTTGTAATTTGTCATTTATTTAATTAATGCTCAGCAGAGAGCAACTGCATGAACGCCTTGTTCTCGAATATTAAATGCCGTACAAGTATGGCTTCCAAATTTCTTGTGAGCATTACACTAACATTAAAGATAATGAGTGTGTTTAACTGTACATATTTAAATTCAAATAAAATCAATTCACTTGACAGCTGTCACAGAAGCGATTAATCAACAAATACTTGTATATTTCTGATTTCCTTCCACACTTATCTCAAAATTGCTCATTTTTGTTGCTAATTAATATTTTAAAAACGGACAACTTAAATTATCCAGCAGCATCACAGCTAATTTGTTCGACTGTATGAACGCCTCATTCTAAAATATTAAAAGCGCTATTTAAACAAAATTTTTTGTGAACTTAACACGGACATTCAAGCAAATAAGTTGTGTTTTGCTTTATTAGATTATCAAAGAGTTTCAATATATTCAGATATAAATCGCTTTAATTGACTGAGAAATAAATTTCAAATCTCCTAAAAGAAAATTGCTGCCAATTATCATAGAGATCTTCCCATTAAATTTGATCGACAAATAGAGTATCACTCGACTTACCACAATCGTCGCTGTCGCTATCATCGATAGTGCTCGCCTGATCTCCGCTGATGCTGCTTCCTGCACCGCCTAATAGCAATCCACCGTTATTGTTGTTGTTGCCATTGCTGCCACTATTGCTATTGTTGTTGTTGTTGTTGGCGGCATGGTGATGATGGTGATTGCCAAGGGCTTGCAGTACTAACGGTGAACGCGAGCGATCGTCGAGAGAGTCCGCCGAGGCGGATGCCGCTGCTGCCGCATGGCGATGCAACACCTCCAGACGCTCGCGTTCCAAATGCAAATGATGCGGATGCGGATGCACGTGGGGGGGCTGCTGATGCTGCTGTTGCTGCTGCTGCTGCAGCATGGCGTAGTGAGCCGGCGTGGCAGCGTGCGGAAAGTGCGCCAAAAGGGCACCCGGTGGCAAGTGTGGAGCTCCGTGATGATGAAGCGCAGCAGCTGCCGCGGCAGCGGCGGCGGCAGCAGCAGCTGCCGATGCAGGGGGTGGCGTGTGGCGCGGCTGTTGCTGCTGCTGCTGCTGTTGTTGTTGTTGCTGCTGCTGATAATGCTCACGCTCACGTTCGCGCTCACGCTCGAAACGCAGCAAGTGCTGCTGTTGTGCGAGATAATGTTGCAGGGCTACATGCTGCTGATGATGCTGCTGCTGCTGCGGATGATGATGCTGCTGCTGTTGTTGCTGATGTTGCTGCTGCTGCTGCTGCTGATGGTGGTGAGCAGCGAGGGCAGCCTGATGTTGCAAGTGCGATGCTTGCTGCCCCATTGGCGGCGATACCGATGAGGCACGCACGCCTGCTGCTGCGCCGTAATGCGCCTCCGGACTGGCCGAGCGGCTGGCCGCCGCCATAGCTGCTGCTGCCGCTGCTGCAGCCGCCGCTGCCGCACTGCCCGCCAAGATGTCGGTGATCATGAAGCGGGAACGTGTTGCTGTTGCTGTTAGAGCGGCACTCGTGTCACGCGGCATCCCCCCTCCGACGCCCCCGCCGCCCGCTGCCGCAGCTGACACGGGCGTGAGCGGTACGGTGGGTGCAGGTGCAACGGCAGCAGTGGTTGTGGACATTTCCGGTGGCATTGTGGTCATGTGGGTGATAATGTTGCTGTTGTTGCTATCGACACTTGCTGCCGCTTCTGTTGTTGTTCTTCTTCTTTTTGTTGTTGTATTTATTAGCGGTCACAACAGGGAAGAGAAATGCACGACTTTGACACTCACACGACGCACGATTTCAATTTTTGTTTTTTGCCGTCGGCACAAATAGTTTTGCACAATAAAAAAATAAATATTTGTAATGGACAATCGGAAATTTGTAACGTGTTTTTATTTTTTTTTGGTTGGTGGTGTTCTTCGGCCCGCCGCCTATGATTGCCAACCACTTTGCATGTGGCGTGGCACAGCGCACAGCACAACTAACTGAATTGTATGTTGTTGTCGTCACTGCTGTTATTGTTGTTGCTATTGTTGCTAAAGCCGAGAGACAACCGCTCGCCTTTGCCTTTCAACCGAAACTGAACCTGAAACTGAAACTGTGGCCAAGCAAGCAAGCAGCTGCGTGTCTTGCTGTTGCCGTTGCCGTTGCCGTCTGCCGCCTGTTGTTTCGACCAGCGAGCAGTGAGCAGCGACCAGCGACGGCAGCCAACAACACTCAATAATCAGAAACAACAACAAAACCAGTCCTCAGTCTCGGCCTCAGTCGCCGTTGCTGTTGCTGTTGCTGTTGCCGCTGCCATCCATATCAAATGTAGCTGAACACCTGTCGTTGTCTCGCTCGCTCGCTCGCTCGCTCACACGCAAGCTTGCAAACGGCATTGTTGCTGCTATCTCTCACCGTGGTGAGTTTCCGACGCATCTCTGTAGGTGTGTGTCTGTGCTTCATTGTCTGTCGCTTGCATTTATTGGTCGTAATTGCTTGCAATTGACATTCATTAGTCTTCAATCAAAACAGTCAGACGACGGGCAGGCAGGCAGGCAGGCAGGCAGGCAGCAGCAACAACACCAACAACGACAGCTCCCATAGCTGCGCATGTGTGTGTGAGTGTGGTGAGTTGCGCACGCAAACAATGGCCGCTAACATAACGGTAACATTTGCTTTGCTATAAAAGTTTATGGCAAGCGCCGCATGCGTAAGGCAACAGCATCAGTCGGACTTATAACAACAACAACAGCAAAGACACAATAATAACTTGCTCAATTACAATGACAACAATAACAGCAACAACAACTTCATCTTGGCCCAAGTATTGTTGTTATTGCTAATATTGCCGCTGTCTGTAATAAAATGCTGCAACCCCGTCCAGCATCAGTACCAACAGCAACAACAACTTTAGCATCCTCGGGCTAAGCTCCGCCCCAGCAAACTGGTTCACAGACACACACGCACACACTCGCACACAGAGAGCCAAAGATACACACACATATAGCGCGCTCGCTCGCACACACGCCCAAAAGGCTGTGTGTGCTTCTTTTAGACTTCGTTAGTCACTGTTATTGTTGTTGTTGCTACAGATTATATGTGCCTGTATGTGTGTGTGTCTTTTGTTATTTTTGCGCTTGTTAACACTTTTTGTTTGGCATTTAAACAGTAAATTGGCAGCAGTTAAATGATGCCGCCGTCTCACTCTGTATGAACGTACTTACATACATACAAGTATATATGTGTGTGTGGTGCGTAATTGTGTGGGTGTGTTGGCCACTCCATTGCCGAATTTTTACTTCTGCTTCTGCTTTTGTTGTTGTTGCTGTCGCTGTTGCTCCCCATATCGATGTCAATTTGCTGCCTGATGATGACCAGGATCATGACTGAGGCCGCAGGGCTAACATTTTTTGCTTAGAGCGGATGCTGCTTTCCGCTGCCGCTTCATTTTCCCGCCCCCTTGCCATTTTCGTTGCTTGTCGCCGTAATGGCATTATTTTTGCCATTACAGGACATTTAATTGCATTTGATTGCTGCTTTACCTGAATGCTATTAATTCTTAATCCTCTTTCATGAATGAAACAAATTTTACACCTAACCACCTGCATTAATCAATACAGTCAATTGATCAATTAATTCCATACCTCATTGAGTGGCTATTTTAGTTTTCTAGCAAGAAATCTTGTTAACAAATTATAGTTTATACAGTTATACAAATTAAAAATGAATTTGTTTAAGAATTTACTCGAAAAGGGTATTGTAAGTACAACATTATGTTGATTCTAATTATTATTTGAGAAATTGCGTTATTCAACCATGGAGTTTTAAACATTTGGATTTAAAAGTAAATTAAAATGCCCAGAAAGTAATATAAAATTTTAAATCATTTCTAAGTATTAAAACGTTGCTCAGCTATTTAAATAGATAATACATTTTTATAAATAGTTTAAAAATGAAAATAAAATTATAGGCTAGAAAAATTAAATTAAATTTTAAGAAATGGGCCGATAATGCAGGGAACTTGTTCGGCAAAGAAAATCACAGTAATTGAAATTAATCCAAAATACAAGAGCTCCGACCTAAAAACAGTTTTTCAGGATGAAGTAGTATTTCGGACGAGAGCTTTATGACAGCATGTTCTCTAGATTGCCATAAAATGTTGACAATCAAAGGAATATTTTAAGAAAGTCCTGTTTACTTTGTGATTCACTTTGTGTTGGAGCAATGAATCATAAAAAGGCATGTTGTCATGCCATCATTATTGGACACTAAATAGCGGAACAATAATAATCCCAAACCCAATCTAATTATTAATAAAGTAAATATAAAAGCTAAAAGGATAATTTATCGATTAATATTTTATAGAATGTGACCAAATTGCAATTAGTATAACAAGAATTAACAATATTTATTGAATTTAAAGATACAATTTGCTATTTATTAAGAAAATGGAAAACTTGCTAGACATAACTTGATAAATATATCACTACCTAAAAGCAATTGCTTCCATCACTAACACCACAAAATTAGTCTGCCATTATGCATTAAAATAAAACCAATAGACTAAAGGTCCTCTAAATGAAACAGGCACAGAATGAATGTTTCCATGTTGTCTAAAAATATATACTATGTGCATAAATAAGTAGATAGCAAAATTCTCTAAATTTATGATCATCGATTAGTTCTATTTAATACGGAAACTTCTTCCAATAAATTTAAGGTAGAGCATTCAAAAATAGTCTAGCTGTTCGGACACAGTTCCGCAATCATAATTAATTTTTAAAAAAAATCGCATTATTTGGTATAAGCTGATGTCAGGTCACAAATACTCTGTTTTTGGGATTTTGTATTTTAAATTAACTGTAGCTTTTTCTACACAAAGGGCCAGAAGGGCATGTCAGTTAGGATGACATAATGAGTCTGTATAGCCATGTCCGTCTGTCTAGCTGTATGAAAGCAAGAATGTTAAAAAGTAGCAGACTTGGTCCAAGAAAGGACGAGTTTCTGAACCTCCCTCCCCCTGATGCAAGTATTTTAACCTCTGTTAACGACAATAACATCGGAAAAGCGTAGGAAATTTTGGTCTTGCTGGCATTAGAGAGATAGCGGGAGCTCTAAACATCTCTTACGGATCGATTCCACACATTTTGGTTGATGTTCCAATTTATGATTGTGTCTAAATTCTTGGCTATCTGTGACTCCGGCCTGTCTTCCAAAACTCAAGTATCCTGCTAAAAACTAAAGGTCACCCCAATGGAACAATCTTTTTATTTTAAACCAAATCTGATCAGATGCTACATAGGAGTATAATGAAGAATGAAATTGAACCCGAGTTGCAAGGAAGATTGGCAAATATGCTATTTATGAGTTGTAATATCCGAATACTGGCATTTGTAGTTTAGAAAGTAGTTACGCGGCCATTTGTACATACCATATGTGTACCTCAAACATCATGATTTGGGCTTCTGCTGACAAATTAGCGGCGCTACTTTCGTGGTGGCTCATGAAAGAAGCGCAAGTTAATGTGCAGGCGTAATGACTTCATTAAAAATAAATAAACAAATGAGAGGAGAGGTGGGGTGAGGTGAGGGGAAACGACAAGTAGACCTCACACTCATGTGTAATTATTTAAAAAGACATTAACATGAAATTTCCAGCCAGCAGCTCCAAGTGCGAGTGCTGCTTTCCCCGGGTCTGACCCGGACTCGGACTCGAACTCGAGCTCGGGCCGTCATTAAAATCAGCGAAGTGCGGCTGACCAGGCCTGTCCAGGGAGTGGAAGTGGGTAGGGAGGTGGGTTCACAATGTTGACAGTTGAACGAAACTCGCTGGTTGGCTGCGCGTCTAAATTTCACACTACCGTTGAGTTATTTTAATTAGCCACAACGCAGCGAGCAGCGAGCAGCGGATGTGGCGACAGTTAAAGGGATTCTCAACCACCCACCCGGCCAGTTAGCCGGCTAGCCAGCCAGCCAAAGGGCCAACTGGCAAAGCAACAACCCCCCAGAGAGGCGCTTAAGTAGAGGCAAAGTGGCCGAAACATCAACAGAGGGCTGTTGATGTGGGGGTGGAGGGGTTGTTGCAACGTTTGAAGGTGTTGTAATTGTGTGACGACCTCACTTGTGATTTGCACCCATTTGGCGGGCAGGGGCAGGCACAGGAACAGGGAGATAAAAGCGATCCGCTGACAACCCTCGGATGGTGTCTGTATGTGTCCGTGTGTGTGTGTGTGTGTGTGTGTGTGTGTGTGTGTGTGTGTGTGTGTGTGTGTGTGTGTGTGGCTGCCACCCTCGAAAGCCTTCAGTGATTTGTTTCTAAAGGCAAACAAATTAAAAAGCACTTAACAGCCTGCATTTAATGTGGTAGACAGCCTCGCCTCTAATTCCGATTCCGATTCCAATTCCGATTCTGATTCCGACTACAACTCGCACTCAGACTGAGATTCGTAGTCATATTCATTTCTTTTCATGACTTGCGTGTGAATTGCCAATGCCAATGAAATAAAAATATATACACAAATGTATTTATGTATACGAGTTGAATGAGTTGAAGTTTTGCCACAAAGATCATTTAGCATTTTGGTTGGGTTCGCGTCTCGTTCGGGATCTTTTGGCGCTGGCCTGTCAACGGCTCAGGCATACAGCTCGTAAATATCTCGAGACTGGCGTGTGGC